TGTTTGTTGACCGTTTCGCATCATGACTCCATTTAACTCCTCCTCTTCAACTACATGATTAACATTGATCAGACATATCCGAATCCGACAAACATACAATGACTTGGCCGACCGAAGTGGCGCTTTGTAAACTTATCAGCAAGTCAAGATGGCTAGACACAAGAGGGAGGTGTTCAGTCTTTGCATTCGTAAGACAATATATGCTCTCGTGACTAACTTTTGGCTTATCAATGAAATTAAACCTTATCTTCTATTGCTGCAGTGCATCCGAAGTGCATTTTGAGCGGTTTAGTTATGTACAAAGGTCTGTCGCATGTACACCTCCAATCACTGAACGTGTTGCCATCGGAATACCTCATTAATATCCAACACAGATAACATCATCATCGTAACCAGTCGTAAGCTAACTATTTCATTTCCAAGCATGCTTTGGTAATTCTCACTGATATTTTTTCTACCTGATATTATGTTTTACCCTTTCCAACCAGCGCACGGCGATCTTCCTATTTCCGTATTTCCTCCATAATACTTAAGGCACATGGCACCACAGTCGCGCTGTTTCTCTGCGCCCCTCCAAAAAATCGTTAAAAAACGTGTCAAGTCGCACTCTAATGCGGAGCAAGAACTGGCTCATCTCAATGCCGCCGAAGAAGCATTCTGTGCGCAAGAATGTGAAACAATGACCGCAAGAATCACAATCTCGAATAAATCAAAGGCGAACGAGGTCAAAGTAGACAATCTTGACAAAGGTGTAAATGTGAAACCCCAAGGGTATCAAAAGCACACGCCTTGTACACCAGACCTGTCAGTATTGATTCTCATGTCTTTCACCGTTCTGTCTGTGGTGCTTTCATTCTATTTTTTAATTCAATAACGACTGATAAACATCTGCATAATGAAAAACCACGATACCAGCAATGGCACTTGGAAATCTCTTGCACATGAGAATACATCTTCAAGCAGCGTACTATCAAGGTGAGTTATGGCATGGCTGTAAATCATGGCCTACCACACTTGATACTGATTGGTTGCTATTTGATACTGATTGGTCGCTATTTGCCAAGCATGACCTCCAAAACATTCAACTCACAATATCCTGTTTGTCCAATAAAGAAGACCAAACATGAGTCAGTTCTGCAGATATCCACAGGAAACCACATAGAAGATTTTGAAATCAATTTCCCTCACAACATTTACAGGGAAACGTGCTGGTATGAAGGAAAAAGTTGCTTAAGATTTTTAATTTCTCAGGCTCCTTGACCAATATGGTAGATAACATATTTTGTTATACTCAACTGCAGTGCGATTCGCAAATCACCTTGTTTGTCATGCAATGCGAGTAATCCAAAAGCTACAAGGGCCTATTAAGTCTTTAACTTGTGTGTATAGGCGCATGGGTGATCAAAATACGTTACGTTAGCTCAGCACAATTTTGTGAAGTGCTCGCTTTGCCAGCCGTGTGACATGTCAGTCCACAATAATCTCTGTACTTTTAAGGGTACCGGTGATCAAACCTCACACAGGTACACACCCTGGATGGCTTCACAGAACCCTCATTTACAACGCTTGATGAAATGTGGTTGCTCCAAGTGATAGTCGGAACATCAATACCACAATTTCAACAATGATACTGTCAGATTAGATTCAATAGAGATACAATTAAATGATACACAGATTCACTTCCATAGATACAATTAGAAGTTCAAATTATGTTCTTTCTTGAGATTTGTTTGAGTTGAATGGGCATGAATTATAGAACAACCTGACTCATCCATTGCCCCATTGTCTCATGAGAGCCGACTGAAGTATTTAGTTGTTGTGAATTTACATTTTTTGAATGTCCTGCATGCTAAAAACAAAAATGTTAAAACTTATTATTTATACCTGTGCCATACAGTTCAAGGACTTCTATTTTGGCCAAATATACTATTTCTCAACCACCAGGCTAAATGTGTATTGATTGAGAAATACACATAGATGAATTGAAACTCTTGAAATCTGGATTATACTTGTGCCATACAATTCAATGAAATAGTATATTTTGGCCAAATATACTATTTCTCAACCACCAGGCTAAATGTGTATTGATTGAGAAATACACATAGATGAATTGAAACTCTTGAAATCTGGATTTGAAATGTGCAGCTGAACAATGTGGATGCCATTTAACCTGTATAGCCGCTCTCTGCACAGAAAAATAGGTATGTTGACATACCTATTTTTCTGCCTTCACATTTTGTGTCACGTCTTTTTCTACCATAACTTTTTACGCCTGGGTGTTAAGGTTGTCCTGAGCATGGCAAATGATTTGTGGAGCATTACTTAGTACTATACAAACCATCAACCAACTCATGAAGTGCCACAACTCTCCATGGGTTGGTTGTGACACGGTTTTGCACGCATAGCCAAACATGCCCATATTTAGGTCTTTTTCTACCATAACTTTTTACGCCTGGGTGTTAAGGTTGTTCTGAGCGTGGCAAATGATATGTGGAGCATTGTTTAGTACTATACAAAGCATCAACCACCTCATGAAGTGACACAACTCTCCATGGGTTGGTTGTGACATGGTTTTGCACGCACACCCACAAACATGCCTGTATTTAGGTCTTTTTCTACCATAACTTTTTACGCCTGGGTGTTAAGGTTGTTCTGAGTGTGGAAAATGATTTGTGGAGCATTACTTAGTACTATACAAACCATCAACCAACTCATGAAGTGCCACAACTCTCCATGGGTTGGTTGTGACACGGTTTTGCACGCATGGCCAAACATGCCCGTATTTAGGTCTTTTTCTACCATAACTTTTTACGCCTGGGTGTTATGGTGATTCTGAGCGTGGCAAATGATTTTTGGAGCATTACTTAGTACTATACAAACCATCAACCAACTCATGAGGTGCCACAACTCTCCATGGGTTGGTTGTGACACGGTTTTGCACGCATAGCCAAACATGCCCGTATTTAGGTCTTTTTCTACCATAAATTTTTATGCCTGGGTGTTAAGGTTGTTCTGAGCATGGCAAATGATTTGTGAAGCATGACTTAGTACTATACAAACCATCAACCAACTCATGAAGTGCCACAACTCTCCATGGGTTGGTTGTGACATGGTTTTGCACGCATAGCCAAACATGCCCGTATTTAGGTCTTTTTCTACCATAACTTTTTACGCCTGGGTGTTAAGGTTGTTCTGAGCGTGGCAAATGATTTGTGAAGCATGTACTATACAAACCATCAACCAACTCATGAAGTGCCACAACTCTCCATGGGTTGGTTGTGACATGGTTTTGCAAGCATAGCCAAACATGCCCGTATTTAGGTCTTTTTCTACCATAACTTTTTACGCCTGGGTGTTAAGGTTGTTCTGAGCGTGGCAAATGATTTGTGAAGCATGTACTATACAAACCATCAACCAACTCATGAAGTGCCACAACTCTCCATGGGTTGGTTGTGACATGGTTTTGCACGCACACCCACAAACATGCCCGTATTTAGGTCTTTTTCTAACATAACTTTTTACGCCTGGGTGTTAAGGTGGTTCTGAAGCATTGTTAATTACTATCATTGGCCAGCATAGATCAAAAGTACAAACTATGCTCGTTGTGCCATCATTTTATTCATATTGCAAAGTTTGGCCCGTATGTTGTCTTATTCACCAAGCAATTTCCGCATTCCAAGTTCTAACTTGCGTAAAAGAAGTTCTCTTCTCAGAAACACTTTTTACAAATACTTTGAGATGGTGCATTGCAAAAAATACCCAATGTATTCAAAATTAACACTTGAAGGTGCGTCAAAAAAAGCCAATTGACTAGGCAAATCTAACGTAATATGATTGCCAAAGTAGGAAAAAAAGCCAATTGACTAGGCAAATCTAACGTAATATGATTGCCAAAGTAGGATAAAACCATTTTTCATTGATATATCTAGAAACAGAAGGACCATTTTGGATTTTGGTGTGCCATGCACGCTCATCAGGGTTCTCACAGGATCTTTTGGTTCAAAAGATTGACTAAGAAATATTACTTGAGAAAGCTGAACAAATTCAACCTGCAAGACAGGTTTGCAATCAACAGGAACAACTGTAAGATATCATCATATGAAGTTCATCATACTTGCTAATCATCCTCACCCTGACCATTACTCTGATCCTGATCATCCTCATCATCGTCATTGTCCTCATCATCGTCATCGTCATTGTCATTGTCCTCCTCATCATCATCATCATCATCATCGTCCTCATCATCATCATCGTTTTCCTCCTCCTCATTGTCATCATCTTCCTCATCATCTTCCTCATCTTCCTCATCTTGAATTCCTGCTCCCTTGGTCGCACTACTTTTTGGCTTAGTTATTTGTTTTCCAGTTGGTGATGCATCCTTGTCGGCTTCTTCCACAATATCTGATGGCGTTAGACCTACATTTTCGGAGTAAGGATCTTTGCGTAAGCAAAACAGCGCTTGCTCCAAGTCAGTGATCCAATTGCGGCGATCCTGGGTAGTCATTCCTCTAAAGCCTTTCTCTAACGCTTCCTTGGAGAGTTGAGACCCCTCAAGCTGTACAATATCAAAATCCAGATTACGTCGATATAGAGACTGCTGAGGATTGGCAGTCTGAGGGAAAGATTGGGGAGGTGTTGAACCGTTGGCTTTTGCTGAAGAGATATGTAAGCTAATGTTTTACCTTTGGAGTGTGGCTTTGGACCACTTACTTATGAGAAGTCGAAGTAAATGTGATAGCCTTCCTTTCACTCGATCACAAGATTGACCCCCAGAAGTGCCAGCTGTCAATTTTGTCCTTGTACACGTGCCAAGAGTGTCCTTGTTAGAAGATACAATGGCCTCACCCATTGAGGCACCCTGTGCATACGCAGCAAAAACCCGTCGAAAGCCATATTGGTCATTGGCCCAGGTTCCTACCTGTGGATGCGAGGAGTACTCCACCGACCACGGAGTTCCTTTACCTTTGCCAGGCATTTCAGTGCTGACACCTAGCAGGTAGTAAGCCATGTTGCAATCTTTTCGCTCATGAGCAAGCTAGAAAGGGTTAATTAGTTTGACATAGCCACAAACCTCAAATGTTTAGTGTGAATGAATAACTTACATCGCCAGCTATCTCTTTGAGCATTTTCTGGGCACGGCGTTGAGTTTTGGCTACAGTCGCTCCCATGGCCTTCGGCTTTAGAAGCGTGAGGACCTTGGACTCATCGACTAATTCTTCATAGATAGGACGGTATAAAGCTTCATCCTCCGCAGAAATGGCCGGAATTGGAGGGGAATGGTCACCGCTCTGATGTATATCCCCAGTCGTCAAATCGAGTTTTTTTTTGTCGATGTAATCGCGTGGAATAGGAAGGCCGGCTAATGCAAAGAAGATTTTTGGTTTGAATACATCCTTGCTATCTTTGTCGAGGGAAGACCATCTACACCCGTTGCGTTTGTTTCGAAGTGAAAGGACTCCATCCTTCTGGCCAGGTTCAGACACTAACACGGTCATAAATTAAAGAATTATGAATAGAGACTCGCAAATCAAATCTCACAAAGAGATATCTTACTACTTTCGCTTAAAGGCTTCTTTCCAAATCGCCGGTAGATGCTGTAGCCCCCTTTACGCCTTTTGTTTCGTGATTCAGGCCTGCAAACGGTGTTGATCAGTCTTTGAACATACATTCTGCCAAAGCATTTGAGATACAAAAGACACTCACACCTGTTTTCTCATGGTCTTTTCACTGATATTGCCTACCATCGCTATCATTAGAAGTGTGTGTTCAAATGTTTGATATGCCAATTTCAATTCTGTTTGAATGGCTTGGCTCGGTCGGTTGCTTAATTCGGAACGATGGACCGAAAGATATTTGCGAATCTTGCCCTGAGGCCAGCGAAGCAGATGTTCTTTGTAATTGTGGATAGTTGGGAAAGTGGGGTCATTACGATCAGGTAAGGTAGCCAACCGAGGCTGTGTCGAGCGTGTTGAGTTGTCTTGACGCTGACTAGCATCTTGCGTAGGGCGTGTACTATCATCCTGATCAGGTGGAGCCAACCGTGCTGCGAGGGTCAAATCAGGAAGAACATCTTCTATTTGTTGACTGGGTGATGGAGGATCAATGCTGGTAGGATTTTGACTGGCTTGGGTTCGTTTAGATCGTTTCGCCGGGGGTGCAAGTTCAGAAGTAACAGGTATGCGGTTCTTAGCCCGAGTACTTCGAGTCGACACAGAAGCGGTGGCAGTTCGTGATTCGACCTGTTGAGTAGTGCTATCGTTTCGGCGCTTGCGCAAGTTAGGCATGTTGAGCTTCAAGTTTGGAGTACATACAAGGGAAACATGAGTGTCAGTTGCATGTGGCCAAGGAATTAATGAGCAAAAAGAAAGTCACTTACTCTTGCTTTCAACAGAACACAAATAGATTTAAGAAAATCGATGATGATGATATTGATGTTGTAGTTGCAGTGATTGGTAGTAATCAAAGGAGTTGAATGAGGCAAGTAAGGCACTTACGTGGCCTAGGAAATCAAGACCCTTTGGACGGGGTCGCAGAACCCTGTACCGAGTACAGGGCTCTGTCTTGAATCATGAAGTCACACGATATGCTTGACTACGCAAATCATTTGTTATCCACTTTCCAATTATCTATCTCCAAGTGCATCCTATGCTTCAATGTCTTCACAGCCCAACAAGTTCGCATGCCCCTTGCAAAATCGAGTGAGGAAGAACGGCCCGGCATTGAGTGCCTCAGCGAAATATCTTGCTGAACTCAAGGCAGCCGAAGACGAGTTCTGTGCGGAGGAGTGCCAAGCCCTAGCTGAAGGAATCGGGGAAGCCGACGTGCCAATGGAACTTGAGGTCGCCGAACCTGAGGATGAAGGCGTACCATACGAGTATGACATCATCATACCCGACAATCGCGAGCCATTTGAGGATCGATTGCCTTCGCCTGAGGGTGTAGACAACCCAGATGACAATGAGGAATTGGATGCTGAAAATCAACAAACTTATGCTGCGCAAAGGGTGGACGAGCAAGAACGATGGCTTGCAGTGATTTCTCCAATGTTCATTGCTTACATGCGATGTAAGGGGCTGACTATGACCTGGGCACACCTGGTAAATTGGAACCATGACTGGAAAGCAGCATGTTCATGCCCGGCAAGTCGCAAAAGGGAACGAAATGTGGATTGCGTTGACATATTGAGTAAGTGGAATACTCATCTTTGCTACAATCAACTTTATCCCACTGAGTGACATTTGTTTGGATGTTTAGTTCGACAAAAACAATCATTTACGTTTTGTAACTGCAAACCAGACCAAGTACGACTCATTGAAGCAGGCTATATCGGAGGCACACCCACACATCCAACGACAGCTTTCTCCATACGATTATTAAGGTTTCATGACTTCCTGTGGAAGTATTGTGCAGTACGATACCAGCCATTTGCCGATGCGCTGGATGAAATTCTTGACGCTGGCAATCCTATCATTGAATGCTGCAATTCAAATCAAGTAAGTTACTCCCTTGTTCTGAATTACAAATTGTTTGACAATTTGAGCTGACCCAAAATATAACATTTAGCCACGTAATTGGCGTTGTCCCCTGTCTTGTGCGGTGGATGCTTATCGACATATGATGAGGCTTGAACGGGAGCTTTCCGAGAGGGCAATGCGGTTAACACCCTTTGAGCAAATGGCCAACAATTGTCCACGCTGTTTTGGAGGACACTATCCCAACGAACGAAAGGAAGAGCCTGATGTTATTGTCTGCATCGACGGTAACTTTCAACATCGCCGACAAATGTTAGCCAGTAATGAACCTCCAGCGCTTCGTCACCAAACTCCTGCCCTTTTTTTGGACTCTGCTCGGGTAGAACAATGGAACCCGGCACGGCTAGGCAATGGCGATGAAGATGCAATCAATAACGCAGAACTTCGCAATGTGAGTTTGGCACCAAAGAGCTACACCTTAATTTTAAAAGAAGGCTAATAAAACATATCTAGGATGTGTGCACCATCAGGCATACTGCTGCTGATGACCGGCAAGGAGAAACCACATGGCGTGGATGTGATGATACAGGCCTCCTCCTTATGGCTTGCAGGCATGACCATGCGCTTGCCTTTGTTAACATTGTCCAGAGTGGTGAAAAGTTCGTTACTTATATCTTCATGAAGCATAATAGTTTCAAAGTAACTGACTTGGCATTTCAGGGCTTACTTTGGCCACGCTTTGATTGATTAGTTGCTAGAAAAGATATCAGATGCATCACTTCAATCACAGCTCCGTGTTGCTATCCTTTATGACATAGGTTGTAATATCGAAAAAGGGTTGATTAGGGTGAGTCTGTCTTATCTGAGTGACCTGTGGTTCACATACTGATATCAAAATAATTCATGCATGGCGTAGAGGAATTTGTTTGTAGAAGAGCGGGATCAAGGACGATTGAAGTTTGGAACTAGTGTTTTCCACGCATACGCTCATATCTGGGGATGTCAACTTAAATACAACCCAAGGCTGAATGTGGGTTTTGGGATGTCGGATGGTGAAGGGTGTGAGAGAAAGTGGTCCGACACCCCATGTTTGATAAGCCCCTTGTCGGTATTGTACTCGTCAACATCGAAAGGAGGCTGAAGGATAGTAGTCGACTACAGTTCCTTACTTCTGCCTG